GCATGCCTGGTCCCCAAAGTGTCCTGGGGCCCACGGTGATCATCCTCGTGTCAGAGGAGAGCTCAGGGGTTGGGTGGCACAGCCGCTCAGAGCTAGATGGATCCAGGAATCCAGTACTGGAATAGGGCCTGGGTGCCCTCCTGCCTCGCCCAGCCCCCTGCTGACCTGAAACAACAGTCCCAGGAGGTCTGAGGACTTCGAGAAGTCCCTGAGGTTCCCTGCAAAGACCCTTTCCCAAAACAGGCCCCCCAGTGGCTCTGAGCAAAGCCCTGTTCTGCACCTCTGTCCCTGACTCGGCCCCAGGTTCTGGGCAATGCTGTGTCCAAACTTCAGCCACAGCTAAGCCCAAAGTGGACATGGGACATTCCTGGACAGACTCTGGAGTGGCACGGCTCAGCCAGGAATTCACAGGCTCACACTGAGTTTCCCTCCACCCCCTCAGGCCCTTTTTGGCTCCACAGGGAAGACAGATCTTAAAACACTGGGGTTGGTCTGACCTGCTTCTCTCTCACTTGGGGATGAGAACGTGGCTCCAGGGCACCTGGGTGGCTCAGTTGCTTAGGCAACTGCCTTTGGCTCAGGTCATGATCCTGGAGTGCCGCCAGGATGAGTCCCACCAGGATGAGTCCCGCATCAGGCTCCCTGCTCAGCAGGGAGTCTGCTTTTCCCTCTGGCCCTCCCCCTTCTCATGCTCTCTCTCTCTCAAATAAATAAAATCTTAAAAAAAAAACAAAACAGAGAACGTGTCTCCACACTCAGGATCTGGGGCCTGGGGAAGGGGGCAAGAGGCTCACCTTGCTTCCTGTGCCTTCCTGTGTGTCGAGCAGGGTCTTGGAGAGCGAGGAAGGCCGCAGGGAGTACCTGGCCTTCCCCACCAGCAAGAGCCCCGGGGTGGGCCAGAAGGGACGCAAGGACCTGCTCAAGGGCAACGGCAGGCGCATCGACTACATGCTATATGCGGAGGAGGGGCTGTGCCCGGACTGGAAGGCCGTGAGTCTGGGGTGGGCCGGGCAGCCAGGCTATGCCTGTAGATAGGGGACCCTTGCCCTGCACCCCTCAACAGCATGGAGCTCACCTCTGAAAACGAGATCGGTCAGTCCCAGAGACCCTGGGGCCCATGTGATGCTCCCACCGCCCCATCCCGCGGCCCCACCCCTGCTCCCCAGGCCCCTCCTTTGCAGGATACCCTCTGGATCTAATAGGGATGCTTCTCCCCAACAGGAGGTGGAAGAATTCAGTTTTATCACCCAGCTGTCTGGCCTGACTGACCACCTTCCAGTGGCCATGCGGCTGATGGTGTCTTCAGGAGAGGAAGAGGCATAGACCAGCCACGTCATTCCGAGCAGTGGGGCCTCTGCCAGCCCTTTGAGCCGCAGCACCTCTCTGGCCATGTCCTCTCCAGCGAGTGCCCCTGGTGCTGGGGGAGGAGGGCAGGGACCCGGGGGGAGCCTCGGTCAGTCCCGGGTGAGCTGGAACCAGCGCCGTCCTGCACCTCTGGGCACTCACCGTGGACGGAGGAGTCAGGCCGGCCTTGGGAGCCGCAGCTGCCCAACAGTGCCATTCTTTCGAAACGTGATTTTCTACAAATCTACAGCACAACCTAGTTTGTAACCCGGGGGTTAGTATGAGAACCGGGTTTCGTACTCTTTGTATCTCTTCTCAAGCTTCGTCCAGGGTTCATTATTTTTGTCTGCTGCCATGTTGTGTCGCATGCCTGCACCCTCGCATGCACGCTGCCCGCATGTCACGTGCCACGCCGTAGCCACACAGACCCCTCGCTCGGGCCTCACCCAAGGCCAAACTCCAAACACGATCAGAACCAGCCAAAGAAGCATTTCTGGGCACAGGGCCACAAGTTCCCGCCTCCAGCCCAGACGGCTAGCAAGCAGGGACCGTGAGGGCTATGTCCAGTTACCAGCAAGGCCGGGCTCTTCCCAGAGTCTTGCATTCAAGGGCGATTACATTTTAAAAAGAAAAACAGAAAAAGTTAAGAAAACCACCCTTCACTTTAGAGGGTCTGCAAACCATGAGGGAGAACACTGCTTGGGGTCCCCTCTCCTAGCCAAACAGGGCCCCAGAGGCTCCCCCAAGAGACTTCAAAGTGGGCAGAGGGAATCTGAGGAGAGGGCCAGGGGGACTTCAGGTTTTCCAAATGATAGATTTATAGCTTTTCTGTCAAAACCAACGCATCCTCTTCTTTCTACCTGATCCCATTTCCCTTCTGGACACCTCTCTGGTGTGGGACCAAGCTTTCCCTGGCAGAGCTCAGGAACTGTCTGCCTGCCTCTGGGTGAGGCTGCAGCTCTGTCATCCCAGGCCCAACCTGAAAGGCAACCCAGGGGCCCTGGATGAAGGGGCAGGAAGCCAAGGTGCAGACCGGCCTGTCCCCTCACCCTCACCAGTGTGGAGGCTGGGGGTAAAGGCCGGGGGCCACTGCTTGCCTGGGGCAGCGAGTGGTACTGGTTGGCATCCAGGCCTGTAGATACCCACTCTGCCACCATGTGACCAGGACCAGCCCTGGGTACTGGGCAGGAATTGGCAGAGCCCGCAGGTGAGGTCCGCAGCTCCCCTCTCCATGGCAGCACTGCCTCTGCCTACCTGCCTTTTTTAAACACACCTGGGGATGCTCCCCACAGTCACGCAAGGGAGGCTGGTGTCTGTTTCCCAGTACAAGGACCCTCCAACTCGGAGGACTGTTCTTGACAACCCCCACTGTCACCCCTCCTCGAAGCGCCCTGACCTTGTGCCCACCTGGCTCAGAGCCAGCTCTGCCCAGCGAGGCTGGGGAGTGCACCAGGACCCTTTGAATACTAGAAGCCTCCTGGTGCCGGCGCGCTGATGCTGTGCCTTGTCACCCACCTGAGCTGCAAGAGGGATCAAGACGGGGGCCAAGCAGCCAGCCAGAGGCTCTTCAGAACCATACACACGGGGGCACTGGTTTGTTCAGGGCAGTGTCTGGGCTGAGGGCTTTGCTGCCAGGAGCATTCCCTGACCAAGCCCCCAGCCCCACCCTGAGACCAGAGCCAGGAGGGGCTGCTCAACCCTGAGCACACAGTCCCACCTGGACTCTCTGCTGTGCCTCTCCTCTGAGGGCCTGGCCTCCAGGGCCCTGGCTAGGCTCCGTGGGGTCAGAGGGCCCCCCACTCCCAGGAGCAGCCAGGAATCTCTGCTCACATAGGCAGGGCCCAACTGAACACGCTCGATGCCTGGATGGCAGGACTGAGCCAAGGCCTTCAGGCTTCGAGTCAGCCGTGTCCAGGAGAACAGGAGAGACAGAGGCCAGGGTTCCTGAAGCAGAGAAACGCTGGCCCAGCCTCCATCCCTCCGAGGAGCCACCTCCTTCCCAGGGCAGCTCTCCGGGAGCCGCGGCACAGGGGGCACACGCTTCTCTCCCTACTCACAGGGCGGCCTTAGGCAAGTCATACCTCCCTGTGCCTCGGTCATTTCCTGTCCTAACAAGGTCGCCTCTGCCCAGCCTGGCCCTGGCATCTGGAGCCGGGCCAGCCTGCATCCCACCTCCCCTCGCCCTTCCCTCTGGCGCAGCCTCAGCACTGAGGCCACGACTGCCCAACCACACGTTTCATCAAGGCTGTGGACTCCTAGGACCATGCACAAGCCAGACTTTTCCATTTTGATTTTTTATAAAAGAGAAAACACTATCAGGATCTCAGATTCTGTGGCATCTAGGCCTAGGAGGGGTGGACACAGGGGTCATCCAAATCCCCACCCAAGGCCCCACGCCTGCCCCAGGCCCAGCCTCCTCCACAGAAGCCAGGAGGCAGGGGTCAGCTTCGGAAGGAAACGGTCATTTCCATTTGTCCAAACCACCTTGAGTTTTAAAGTATGAATATTAACCTTGATGCTTTTTAACTATTGTATTAACTTGCTGAGATTTAGAAATACTGTTTTAAAGGAAAAAAAACCAATTTTTTAATTTCTGTATTTTTTTCTGTATTGTATCCTCATGGGACATTAGGGGTTTTATATGGTAAGCACACCTAAGGTTTTGGTAAAAATATTATCAAATATATATCCAGACGATTCTTCCCTAGGAGAAAAACAATCTTTACACCTGATAAAAATATTTTGAAAAGAGAGGTGTTTTTTCCCTTTACTGGTGCTGAACGGAAGGATGGATAATAAGAAAATAAAACTGTGAGGCTCAAGGCTGGTGTTCTCTTATTTGAGTGGCAAGCTGGGGCCAGGCTGTGGGGGGCCGGCCTTTCCTGCCTTCCCCCCAGCAGCAGGGGAACAGAATAAATCTGCCCTGAACCGCCAGAAAACCAGGCCACCTGGGTTCCTACTATCTCCTTGTTCCCTCTGCAAGTGGGAATAAAGAACGAAAGGCACCTTGAGTGAGGAGAAGCCAGGCTGGGACCACCTCAGGACTCCCTGGCCTTCCCCAGCAAAGCAAGCGCCAGGCTGGAGTGGCTACAGCGTACCCATCTGCCCCAGGCCTCCAAGGTGGCGGGAGGTCCTTCTGCTAGAATGGGGGCACACAGGAAAAGGCTTTACCTCCTGGCTCCTCCTCCTGATGGCTGCTTTCCTGGGTCTGCATCTCAGGAAATGCTTCAAGACCACCTCTTCCCTATCCTCTGAGCAGCAGCCTGCTGTCCAGGTGTCAAGTCTCAGTCACGGGCTGATGCTGCATACGGAGGCCAGACACTTACGGATATGCCTGGATAATGTCACCCAACACATGAGAAGGACGGCCCTGCCAGGGTCTTTCAGGCCCAGGACCTAGCCACAAGTCAGCATCCCAACCTAGATCTAGAAGCCCCTCCCAGCTGAGAGCACACAACCTGCCTGGCCCAGCCCGCTCCCAGCACAGCACAGGGACCCTGCCATGTGAGAGCTTTCTGAGCACTTCGGAACCACGGCGGGGGCGGGGGGGAGGGGGGAGCTCCCTGGCCCCTCCTCGGTTTCAAATTCAGTCAGCAGCTCAGCCTGCCCATCACACCCGAATCGAGGAACTGGCGGGCACAAAAATGTAAAAAGGGAAGAGGGCTCCTCGGAGCCCAGAGGCCTAACTGGGCCCTGAAAAGAGCGGGACCTTCATGCCATTCAGAGCCCAGAGCCCTCGGGCCACTTTATTTCGCAACAAGTGAGGGTCAGCACCCGTCCTTCCGGGTGTCTGACAGCGTGAAATCCATGGTGACGTCCCCAGTGCGGGGGTGGAACTCCACGGTGTAGCTGACGGTCCGAGGGCCGCCCTGCGGAGCTCTGCAGTCCGGGCTGGTGAAGAAGTACACAGCCTGCTTGCAGTGCGGGTTCCAGCAACAGTCCTCCTGTAGAAGCAACAAGAAGGCAGTGACGGCAGAGCCCCCTCCTGGTCAGCCTCCAGCCCAGGCAACTCACAATGAGAAGCTGCCGCTCAGGGCCAGGTGACCTGGGGCCACGGAGGAGTTTGGACCTGGCTGCCTATGCCAGGGGTACCCAGAGCAGTGCCAGCTCTCAGGGCGGGCCTGCTCTGGGACTCACGTACACAGCACTACCTTGTCCTCTGCAGACTCCAGGAGGCCGGTGCTGATGGTGCTGTCAGGGGTCAGGTGGTATTCCATCCACAGGACGGCCCCATGGCTCCTCCCAGGCCTGGGGGTGGGGGGATGTTGGGCCAAATAGAAACAGCCACGCAAGAGACAGGCAGGCATAGCCACAGCTTCCCTCTGCCTTCCAGAAACCTCTAATCTCTCCTTCCTACTCAATCAGGAGGCTGCTAATACCACCTGGCTAAAGGCCACTTGGTAAAACACTAAGCAAAAAGAACCACAACCCAAAGCCCCACTTGTTCCCTGCAGCCTGGCCAAGCAGTTAGAGGAACCACGGGGCCGGGGTGTTTCCTCGGGGAAGCAGCAGCTCCTCCCTCTGAAGGGAGCTGGAGCTGGACGGCCCCACTGTGCCTCACAATGAGCAGCCCTTACCAATTCCTAACCTGCTTTAATTCCCAGCAGAGTTCAGGAAAAATGGCCCAGTGAGTAACCATAGCAACCAAAAATTACGTTTCTGTACAGCTCTGATTGTCATGATGCTGAGCTCAAGGGGAGCTGCAGATGTAGGGGGATGTGCAAAGCCCACTCTGAATCTCCCTCTCCACCAGCACACAGCCAGGGGCTATGGGGACCTGCTAGAGACTCAGGGCCACTTCGGACCAGGAAGGGCAAGGCCCAGACAAGAAGGCCATTCACCCCACGTGAGAGCAGCCGAAGTAAGTGCTTAGCCACCTGGGCAGTAACTAGACAGAAAGCAGGCCCCACCCTCTCTTCCCCCACTTGCTGCACCCTGGAACCTGTTCTTACCTCCTCAGCTCAATGGAGCCCTCAGCACGGACCGGGTGCAGGGGGACCGGGTGCCGAAAATCAAAGGTCATGATCTGCTGGGGCTCAGACAAGCGGCGACATGGGTATTCCCACAGTGGGTGGGGCTCAGCCTCCTTGCTCTCCCTGAAGTCCAGGGCACGCTGAGAAGGTGAAGGGGAGGTGGGGGTGTACAGAAACAGAGACAGAGCCAACAGCCTAAAGATAAGGGACTCAGGTCCAGTCTCCAAGGTCTAGGCCCGTGGTCCTTCACCTCCTTGGCCCAGGTCCCTGAGAATAACTGCCGCAGTCACCTGGCGCAGTGGGTCCTCACAGAAAGACCACGGGCACCTGGATCAGACCAGCTGCCTTCTCCATTCCCCGCTGCTGTGCACAAGTGTCTCCTCAGTGAGTCACTTCACCTAAGCCTCATTATCTCCTTTTTAAGATGGGATGACACTCCTGGTCATGAGCTACTCTGAGGACCAAATGTCTACAGTGGCAAAAAAACAAACAAACATCTGGCACTTGGACACTCGCCCATTTAGTGACCCTTCCTGAGCACTACAGCTGCCAGGTCACGGCGACATGAGGCTCCCAGTCTAGAAGGAGACAGGAGTCACAGTGCCTGCGGACACTAGCCTCCAGCTGAGAATGGGGCTGGGTAGGAAAGCTGCCCCACAGGTGATCTCTGGGCTGCTGCCTGAAGGTCACACACGAGTTGGCGGAAAGGACAGTGTATAAAGCCAAGCAGTGAGGGGGCACGGGGTGCAGCCCAAGGCACAGGGGTGATGGGTGGGGTAAGAAATGGGGCCAAACTCAAGATCTACATGTTCACTTGCACTGTGTAAAGGAAGGCCAAGTGGGAAGGGCAGGACGCTGTGGCCACGCGGAGTGGGTGAGTGAGATCCTGCAGGGAGGAACTGTGGCCCCACCCACCTTAATCATGTCATCCATGATGTGCACATCAAAGCCTTCGCAGTCACCACAGGGACTCCGGATCCGCCACAGGTCCTGTGAGGAAGGCACAGCCCTTGTCGACACCCAGCTGGGGATGGACATCACAGGTTCTGTATAGCAGCATGCCGGCACCCACACCCACCCACAGACACAGAAGCGTGGTCACAAGAGCAAGAAGGGTCAGTGAAGTTGGGCTGGGGGTGCCCCAGCCCCAAACCTGAGGCACACCTTGCTATTCCCGCACACTTGGAAGAGACCCCAAGGTCGAAGGGGCTCAGAGATTTCAAGGATCCAGGATGGTCATTCAAATCTGCCAGGTCTCACAGGACCCCAAGTCCTCACCTACAGGGGGACAATCTGCCAGAGCCACTGGGATGGGTTTTCTTGAGGAAGAAATCTGTAAACTAGCTCCTGAGGCTCTGCACCTATGAACAGAGCACGAGGACAATGGGAGGGAGGGGACCACAAGTGCACCCAGGCCAACCAATTTTGTGTCCCATTTCCAGGATACATGCCTGGGAATGAGCATCATTCCCACATTCCCTCCTAGGCCATGAAAGCCAGAACCCCCGTGGAAATCTCACGAGGCAAATAAGCAACATGGAAGAAATGCCCAGAAAATAAGCGACAGAGCCACTGAGCTGCCAATGGATGAAGCTGCTCTAATCAAAGAAATATCAAAGGAGGTTCACTCTACTTCTCAGGTTGAAAGCATTTCAAAATCCTTTTAAAAAGAAATGTCTTTCCCAAAACGACTTTGTGACTGGTTCTGCTTTGATGAGAAAATCAAAATGAAGCTTTTCAATTTTTTCTTGCATAAAGAACCTGACTTTCCATCTCAAAATGCTTTTAACAACTGGAGCGTCAGCTCTTCTTAAGAGCAGAGCAAACCATGCAGCATGTCTTCTGAAACTCTTCATTTATGTTTTTTAATTATTCTGATAAGGGATAACTCTAAAATGACAACACACAGCCACTTCCATTTCGTATGCCAAATTACTGCATTTGTACAAAGGCAAGCCTTTTCCATTCAACCCTGCAGTGTGCTGATATAGAAAAGGACAGACTCCCACCATGAGGACTCACACTGCTCCACCTGCACCCAAGGTCTCTGCAAGAAAACAAGGCCCCTCCCCTCCCAGCCCTTCTGCAACAACTTGTGGGTGGCCTACCCTGAACTCCACGACCACGGCGTGCAGTGAGGCAGCCTGGGGCATCACCACAGCACCGGGCCCCAGCTGCTGGTCCACAGCGGTCCGCACGTACCAGAAGTACAGGTTGTGCCATGGCAGTAGGCTGGTGGTGAAGAACGGCTCCCCCAGCAGGAGAGAGACCTGGCAATCAGAGCAGGAAGCAGGACCAAGGCATCAGAATGATCCAGCTAAAGAGTGAAGGCACATTACAAGTTTCATGGGAAACACGCAAACAAAAAGGCATTCACTCACTCACTCAGGCAACCAATGAGCATGCCAGGTCTGCCCCTGCCCTGAAGGACACAAAGATGAGCAGACACGAGCCCCGCCCTCAGGAGCGCAGAGAGGTGAAGAGGGGATCCTTGTACAGCGCGGTAAGCTTTGCCAGTCAGAGGCGAGGAAGGGACATGTGGAGGGAGCCCAGACGGAACAGCATCAGGAAAGCTTCCTGAATGGCATCCTGTAGGTAGATCCCCACTCCTAGCTTATCATGACAAACTGTTACCAGTGCTCCTCCAACAGGCTGCCTCACTAGGTTCTGAGCACCAGAGAAGCAGGGAGGTTGGCAGCACAGTATCCCCCCACCCTGCAAAGTACTGGCGTCGAGCCGATGATCAGTGAATGTTTGCCAAGTAAATGAACAAACACATGAATAGGAGTCAGAAAAGCAAAGGACCGGGGTTTCGAACAGAGGGATGCAGGGGCAAAAGCATGGGTGTGAGAGCAAGGCCCTTCGGGAGCTTGTTACACAAGCAAACAGGGTAGAATTGGTAAAGGGTGAGGCCAGAGAAGTGAGGCCAGAGGAGCCAAGTAGCCCAAAGGCAGCTGATGGCAGGCCAAGGGGACTGGACCCTATCCTGGAGGTAAGAGGGGATCTCTAAATGATTTCATCAGGAGTTCAAATGGAAGGAATGTGTGTTAGAAAGAGCCCTCTGACAACCAAGAAGCATGTGGAGACCCCACCCACAGGGAGCATGGGCACAGGAGACGACTTGGCTGAGTATTGCAACGGACCAAGCAAGGAGTGGGGAGCGTACAGAAGGAAGGAATGGGAGATGCGGCAGATGCTGAAGAGACAGGGCACCCAGGGCTGGGCCCAAGCAGAGGGGCATCAAGGGAGGGGCCGGTGTAAGATGATACCTGGTGTCCAGCTGAGGTAAGGAAGATGCAGAAGGAAACACTAAAGACAGAAAAGAGTTGGTCCTGCAACATTGGAACAAGGCAAGAAAGCCTGGTCTCACCCCTTCCAGTCACCACTCTAGTGACCTGGAGGCTAGCCAGTGTGCCATTATCAGTGGCTTATAGAACAGGAGGATTTTTTTTTTTTAAGATTTTATTTATTTATTTGACAGAGAGAGACACAACGAGAGGGAACACAAGTAGGGGGAGTGGGAGAGGGAGAAGCAGGCTTCCTGCGGAGCAGGGAGCCCGATGCAGGGCTCGATCCCAGGACCCTGGGATCATGACCTGAGCCAAAGGCAGACGCTTAATGACTGAGCCACCCAGGCGCCCCAGAACCGGAGCATTTTTTTAATCCTCATCTATGAGAAGGACAAAAAAAGTGCAACTTGTACTGAGTGTTCAGACAGCGACATTCATAGCAGCCAAAAAGTAGAAACAACCCAAGTGTCCAGCAACTGCTGAACAGATAAACAAAATGTGGTCTATCCACGCAATGGAATATTCTTCAGCAATAAAAAGAAATGTAGTACTGATTTATGCTACAACATGGATGAACCCTGAAAGAAGCCAGTCACAAACAGACTACACATTTCATATGATTCCATTTATGTGACTGTCCAGAATCAACAAATCCCTGGACAAAAAGTAGATTGGAGGTTGGCTAGGGTTTGGGAGGATTGGGAGCAAGTGGGAAGTGACTGCTAACGGGCACAAGGTTTCTTTTTAGGTGATAAAAATGTTCTAAAACCGACTGTAGTGATGATTTTACAACCTTATGAATATACTAAATCACTGAATTTCACACTTTGAGTAAATTGTATGGTATGTGAATTATATCTCGAAAATACTTTCTCAAAAAAAAAAAGGCATGGGGAAAAACGGGCAAAAGAAAAACTATGTCACCAAACTAGACATGCAACAGCTACTGAGCACGTGGAAAGGTGCTCAACATCATTAGTCATTAGGCAAATACAAATCAAAATTATGAGACATTACCTGCTAAAATGACCATAATAAAAATGACAGACAGTACCAACTGTTGATAAAAATACAGAGGGCGCCTGGGTGGCTCAGATGGTTAAGCGTCTGCCTTCGGCTCAGGTCATGATCCCAGGGTACTGGGATCGAGTCGTGCATCGGGCTCCCTGCTCCTTGGGAGCCTGCTTCTCCCTCTGCCTCTCTCTCTCTCTGTCTCTCATGAATAAATAAATAAAATCTTTAAAAAAATAAAAATAAAAATAAAAATACAGAAAAATTGGAACTTTCATACATGTTACTAGAGGGGATGTAAAATGGTATAGCTGCTTTGGACAACAGTGTAGCAGTATCTTAAAAAGTTAAACAAAATACCACACAACCCAGCAATTCCAAGCCTATGCATCTAAGAGAATTAAAAACATGTATCTTCACAAAGACATATATATATATATATCAATGCTCACAGCAGCAATGGGAGCACCTAGCTGGCTCAGTCAGAGGGCATGGGACTCTTGACCTCGGAGTCGTGATTTTGAGCCCCATGTCGGGCACAGAGATTACTTGAATAAAAAAATCTAGCTGCATCAGTTCCCTCCTAAAACTAAAAATAAAAGAAAGAGAAAGAAATGTTCACAGCAGCATTATTTTAAAGGCCAAAAATAGTTTTTGAAACAATCCAAATATCCACCAACAGGTGAATGGAGAAACAAAATGCGGCATGGCATAATATTCAGCATTAAAAAGGAATAAAATGCTGACACATTCTACAACATGGATGAACCTCAAAGGTGTGACCAGCGAAAGAAGCCCAACACTAAAGACCACATATTGTTTTATTCCACTTATATGAAATGCCCAGAAAAAACAAATGTATAGACAGAAACCAGATCCGTGCTTGCCTGGGGTTAGGGGCTACGTGATGGAAATGCTCTAAAACTAGAATGTGCTATAGCTATACAACTCTACAAATTTACTAAAAATCACTGAATTGCACACTTGAAATGGGTTACTTTTATGGTATGTCAACTCTCAGTAAAGCTGTTTAAAAACAAAAAAAGGTGGCAAAGAAAGATGATCGATTCCAGCTTGAAGGGCCTGTGGGATATGTAAGGAAAGCTATCCAGATGGTACCTGGACATGATCATCCAGAGAGAAGACACAAAGGGAGAGGGCAGGGGGAGGGGCAGAGGCAGAAAGAGAACCTTAAGTGGACTCTCCATGAGGGCGGGACTCGACCCCATGACCCGGAGATCATGACGTGAGCCGAAACCAAGAGTCAGAAGCTCAACCTACTGAGCCACCCAGGCGCCCCTAAAAAAAGCAGTCTCTTAAGGACCTAAAAAGAAACATGTTAAGAAGGCCTCTGGGTCATGAGGGTCCAGGAGCTGGTGAGAGGAAATGTGCGGGAAGACTGTGTTTAGTGTCTCAGGTCACTAAGGGGTGGGAGTAGTTTCAGAGGCAAACGGGGCAGGGTGGGGGTGGTCAGAAGACCAACTGTGGGAGACAGAAGATCAGAATATCAACCACAGTGGTGGCAGGAAGCAGAAAGGCGAACCAAAATACGGGAGCAAAGGGAGCTGGAGTGCTGTAAAGGGGTAAGGCAGAGAGGACACAATACGCTGCTATTCATCCCAACAGAGCCACCCTCCCTCGGACGCAGCAGAGATCAGCTAGAGTTGAGAGCAGCGCACAAATCTGCATACCAGGCATCTCCGCCTTGCCTGGCCTTGTGGCTGAGACAGGTGTGGGAGCCACCATGCAGCCGAGAGAAGAGAAGGGGGCGCTCAGGCCAGCGCAGTGCTGGGCTGTCCGTGCAGGGACAGAGCCCTCGCCACTCACCTTTTTACCCTTCAAGTCTGCAGACGTTACCAATTCAGGCCGTTTCTCTATTATATTAATTTTATCTTCCAAGTGGTTAGCCTTGAAAATCTTAACGAGAAAAAAAAAATGAAAGTATTGTTTTTGTCCAGGGGAAAAAAACATCTCAAAGTTGCCTTGTCTGTTTGCAGTTTTCTGGCCAAATAGTTCTGGAGGACCACTTTTATCTGCTTTGTGAAAATTCTCTCCTCCAGGGGCATCCTGTGCACCAAAGATGAGATCACTAGCAAAATGTTGTAAGAGCAAAAGAAATTTCTCTTGCAGGCATATGAGCAGGACTCAGCAATAGGCTTGTAGTTCTGGGAGTTTCTTTCAGAGAGGAAGAAATCAAAACCAATCACTGGCCAGGGGGAAAAATACCATCACAGAACCAATCAGTCAGGCCAGCTTGTGAGCAGTGACTCCCTGGACACTGGGTCGCAGAAACAAATCATCAATTCAGTTGTATTACTGCAAACATTTTAGTTTTGTTAGTTTTATGTGAAGTGAGGAGAAAAGCCATAAAAAGAAAGGAGAGTCTGAATGTTTGCTGCTATCCAGGGACAGCCCGAGAAGATTTCTGAGCCAGCTCTCAAGATGGAGGGGGTTCTCACTAGCTCCCGTAGTGCCAACATGGCATCAAAGCGAACAATCCTAGATGCAGGAAAGCAGGCCCCACCCGGTCCCCCTGTCAGTTCCATAACAATTACCACTTACTTTTCTCATCAGTCTGTGTGAAGCTGCTGAGTTCTCTACTGTAAATACCTAAAAAGAATACCATGCCCTTAGTTGTGGGAGATTCACTTGACAGAGAAAGAAATTAGAGATTAAACACCAACATGATCATTCCAAGGCAGAAGGTACCACCAAACCAAGTCTACCTGTGCTCATTACCCAGGGGGACAGCACCCCCTTTCTTCTTTTTCCAAAGACTTTGAGAGACAGAGCAGGGGCAGAGAAACCGACTCCGTGCTGAGCATGGAGGCCACAGAGGGCTTGATCCCCTGACCCTGAGATCATGACCTGAGTTAAAGGCAGACACTTAACTGACTGAGCCACCCAGGCGTCCTTGCACTCCCTTTCTGCACTGACCCTAGCAAGATGCAGATGCAGACACCCGAGCTGCAGCTCTATGGGAAAAGCTACAGCCTGACTCCTGCCTGCACACGGAGGCGAGCAACCCCAAAGCCCCACATCCTTGGCAGCTGTGCTTGCAAAGAGCCCGAGTCACAGAACTGTGTACCCAGACCACGCAACATTCGAACTCAAGAGCCGCCTTTAGGAAGCTAGGAGAAAGGCACATGTCCAGTACCTGCTCTGCCCCAAGGTGATGGGCCAGCAAGGAGAGCAGACTGCCGTCACTGACACACAGGCACACGCTGGCCGGCTTCAGCACCTGCAGGAGAAGAACCACCTCAACACAGGTTTTCTTATAGTAGGTCAAGAAATTCTTGTTGGCACACTCACAGAAATGCTTCCCTTCTCCTGACCCCACCAACTCACTCTGTGATCCTTCAATCCGATTCTACACCCTCAACACCCAGCTGGATCTTCTTGCGTCCCCACAGTCATGCTTGCCTTCCAGGCATTACGCAGTCCCTGCCTTCCAATGTACCCACCTCACCAACCTCTCCCCACCCAGACCTGTCAGGAAAGACCCCTCAAGCTGTCCTAAAAGGCCCAGCTGAAGACCTGCCCCACTTGCTGGAGGTCACCTCCCAGTCTACAACTAGCCTCTTCCCTCTCTGGTCACAGCACAGACAGCTGTGAGCCTGTCAAGTGTCTCGCCAAAGGCAGGGATTACTTTACAGGTCCCAGATCCCTTTGAGAGAAACATAAGACAGCTGGGATCTTCCCTCCTGCAAAAATGCATGCATTTGCATATCTGCACACATATTTCTGCATATAACTCCAAGAGGTCCAAGAGACACCCCTCCAAACCCTATGTGTGGTCCTGGCCTGAAAGACCCCTGCTAAAGGCAGCAGGGAGCAAAGGTTTTTAGGCAGGACAGTTATATAACCAGATTCATATTTTAGAAAATTTTATTTTATTTTTAAAGATTTTATTTATTTATTTGAGAGAGAGAGAACGAGAGATAGAGAGCACGAGAGGGAAGAGGGTCAGAGGGAGAAGCAGGCTCCCTGCTGAGCAGGGAGCCCGATGTGGGACTTGATCCCGGGACTCCAGGATCATGACCTGAGCCAAATGCAGTCGCTTAACCAACTGAGCCACCCAGGTGCCCTATTTTTAGAAAATTTTAGAAAGGAGGCAGATGAAAGAAAGGATGGGGTGGCTGAATCCACTGGTATCATCCACAGGAACTGCTAGTGACCACAAAGGCGACATGTTTAGAGGGACAAAGGCAGGGGCCGAGGTGAGGCTCCCAAGAAGAGGCTCTCACAGGACAGCAGAAAACTGAAAGCAGAAAGTCCAGTAACATGCTCCCTGGCTCACCACCTGAGGGCCCACCCAGAAGCCACCTGAAGACCAGGAAGCACAGAAATCAAAACCAACGAACTATAAGCAAGCAATGAGCTGGGGCCCACGGGACTAACTCCTTCTTGCCTATAACCACCCAAGGGACTGGACACTGACCGTCCTCAGGGCCTGGACGTATTGGTCAGTTCTGTCCTGATCATTGATCTCTCCAAACCGAGGCCGGTTCCAGAGCAGGTGAGCTTGGCAGTCGCACACGGGGCGTGCTGGGTAGACTCTCCCGTTTTTTTCAGGGCTAGGCCAGGAAATGAACAGATGGACACATATGATGAGCATGACCTGCTAGGCACTGGCAGGCATAAAGGCATGGCACAGGGATCTGCCCAGTAGAACTGAGATGGGCCATGGTGGGCACATCCTCTAGAGGGCATGGGTCTAGGAGCTGGCTTACAAATGGGCATTAGAGGTTAGAGGGCCCCCCAATTCAAGACTTCTCATCTAGGGCTCTTCCAAATGGGGGCCCCGCAACCAGGACAGCCTCTTCTAGTACAGGACAATGGGCGCTAACACATCCAGTCACAAAACTTTTACTCTTATTTCATTCTGTTCAGACACAAACCTGCCCACTCGTGCCTCTACAGGGTCTATGAGGCGAACTTACATAAGTGCACAGTGTCACCGGCCCAGGGCACAGCCCTCCCCCCCCAACAAGACTTGGGACATACCTGGTCTTCTGGAGGCTGTACCATACACAATAGTCATCGTGGTGGGCGACCAGGCAGAGGCTTGAACCTTGGACAACGGGCTCTTCTTGTGGCAGGAAGTACACACACTGCATCCAGTGGTCCCGCCACTGAAACAGGGAACAGAGAATCAGGCGTCCCCAAGCTGCAAAAAGAGCAACGCTTCTAATCTAGGAGTCAAAATCCACGCCCAAAACCCACTTGCAGGGAGACCATGCTGTGGACTACAGATGCCTACTCTTGCCAAAAAAATAAAGAAGAAAATTCTCAAGTCAGAGAGGCCAATGGCTGGAAAGTTTGCTGGAACGCTACTGGCTTTAGAAGGATACAGTGCAGCCCAGGGTAGCAGTCTTCAAGAGGAGTTCAGGACCAGGGACTCTGTCCCATGTACGCGCGTGTGTCCACGTGCATGCCTCCACCTCACGTGTGTGTGCGCACGTACAGGCAAGGAAGAAGGGAAGCAGAGAGGGAAGATAGGGGAGAGAGTAAACAAACAGAGCAAATGCTAACCGTTGGGAAATTTAAGTAAAGGGCATATCAGTGTTTATTTTCATTTTTTCTGTGGGTTTAGAATTTTTCCAAAATAAAAAGTTGGGAAAATAGTACAGAAAGGTCTTGTTCTGTTTATTCTTTTGAATTACAGTTTTTAGGGGCGCCTGGGTGGCTCAATCGGTTAAGCCTCCAACTCTTGATCTCAGGACCATGAGTTCAAGCCCTTTGTTGGGCTCCATGCCTAGTGCAGTGCACTTATTAAAAAAAATAAAATAAAAATAATATAAAATCATTTTTAAAGACCTGAAATACTCTAAATTGTGAAACAGTTTACAATGATCCAGAGTCAACTTTTAATAAGCTCTGTTCATCTTTTTTGACACTACAAATCCCACATACAGGATTCTTTGCTAAGAAAAACCAAAGGAAAAAAAGCTATATTCACATGAACACCTTTATTACAGATTTAGACTAAGCAAAACCTGGCCCCGACCCAAATGTCCAGCAGCTCAGAAATGGATCTACAAGTCCTTATACAGAATATACAGAATATCAATCAGCAGACGCTAAAGATGGTAACTGAAGACGAGTGCAGCATGAAAATACAGACATCAGCACCGACAATCTCATGTATGTGGAAAGAGATCAAAAGAAGGAAGTTCTTTGCAGTGATAGGACCCTGAGTGACTTTGGATTCATTTTCGTTTTACACAAGGTTTATTACTCTTACAATCTTTAAGCCTCTTTTTATTTTTTTAAGCCTCTTTTTAAAAAAGAAGGAACTGTCCTAAAAAGTGGATACCTGGTGCAATTCTGACGAGACGAGTGTGTGCTCATTCTCTGTCATCAGCAGGAACTAAGAAAAACTTGGTCCCTAGGAAACTCCCAGGGCACCGCTGGGTGCGGATGCAAACAGAGCTGACACCAGCTCCACTTCACAGGAACGCATTCTGCCCTACCTAGATTTTAATTTTAACCGAAAGGCAGGTGAACGACATTCCCAGGTTATCTAAAATGTCTATCTGAACATAAAAGTCAGAAAATGACAGTGTAACTAGACACATTATAGCACAAGTAAACGCTAACAAGGAGGAAAAAAATCGATTCTCTAAAACCTGTTGTTCATTCCTTACTGGGCAAATTGACCCAAAGACAAGAGAAGCCTTCCCCAGTAAGGCTCTCTGACCATCACGTCCTCACAAGCCAGCCTCCCAGGTCCGAACGCTAAAGGGATGCTGACTGAAGCCACTGGCCGAGGTGAGAGAGACTGAATATATTTCAGACCAAGAGCAGTTTAGTGAAGTCATGAGGGAGATCCATTAGCAGCTCTTCAAATTTCTAACAGTCCATAAGTCACTGCCGATAAAGGAAAGACAAACCCATCAGGAGACAAGCACCCACCACTGCTGCCTAGACAGGAGGCCCAGCTCCGATAACTGGGTCAGGCCTCAGTCTCAGTTTAGGCATTATGTGGTTACCCAGCACATCTTGTATGAGGATTGAAGGGAAAAAAAAAAAAAACATACTAGTGATGAGGGAGCAGAAGGCTAGCTGAAGACAAAGCATAAGCTGACCCTGCAACCTCTCCCCACCCCCTACTTCTGGATGGGACATGTGACAGTCTTCCAGGAATCTCCCTAATATATTAATGTTAACACTTTGCTAGAGGGGAAAAAAACCTTAACTTGACAATGGCAAGCCTCCAGTATCTTGTAGGTGGGGGCCTCTTTAGCATATGGAAGTTCTTCTGAAACCTCCCTTTTCCTTAACTTCCCCCAACTCCCAAGTATATAATCACCACTCCTCAAGATCCCAGGGCAGGAGCTCTTTATACCCACGGGTCCTGTCTCCGTGCTTTAATAAAACCACCATTTTGCACCAAAGACGTTTCAAGAACTCTTTCTTGGTCTTCAGCTCCGGACCTCACCCTACTAAACCTCACCTATATTCCAAAACATCAGTAGCACTGTGAAGATATGCAAATGAAAGTATTCGCATTTTATATTCTTATGCTAATTTTGTACCCCCACCCTCCCGGAGAGGAAGCAACCGGCCCTAGTGTCCTTCTCAATTCTGCGGGCGAATTCTGACCAGCCCCTCCAGCCCCCAAACACTCAGCCTGCGGAAGACCCCCTGAAGACCAGGCTGTGCAGAGTTCATTTGCACTGCTTGGAGGCACACCCGCCCAAGGCCAAGCAACTGGAGGGGAGAGGGGCGAGGGGGGACCTCACAGGCCCGGGGATTGGGGGTCGGGAGTTACCAACTGCAATCCTGCAGCAGTCATGACCCTTTGGCCTAAGCAGTAACTCAGGGGGCAGGGGAGCCGCTCAGGCCATCCCCCGATGTCACCCTGCGTACACCTAGAACAAGCAGGCCAGCAATCAAGAAAATCCAGTGCCCAGCAAGTGGTAACAGGACAACAGAATACAGAGAGAATGGTACCCAGGGCCTCCCAGGTAGAGAAGGGATGGTTTTTTTTTTGGAAATGTTGGTGAAGTTGGTGGGGTCTGGAGCCAATGGCCAAGACGTCTTCCGTGCAAAATGGTGGTTTATTAAAGCACGGCGACAGGACCCCCCGGCAGAAAGAGCTGTTGCACCGGGGCTGTGAGGCGTGGCTGATTATATACCTGGGAGTTGGGGGCAGTAAGGAAAAGGGAGGTTTCAAAAGGATTTTCGTATGCTAAAGAGGACCTCCAAGATACTGGAGGCCTTGCCATTGTCAAGTTAAGGTTGTTGTTCCCTCTAGTAAAGCATTAACACTAAGATAGCTGTGAGTTTCCTGCTGGAATTTAGGTTATTGATAAGAATGCTTTTTTCTTGTAAATCACGAAGACATTTTGTAAACTGAGGGAGACTCTTGTCTTTGATCTCTGTTAACCATTTGTTTTTCCTCCCCTTAGCTTTAGGGCAGCAAGAGTGCCTGAGGAATGTCACACAGAGCCCACCTGGGGGTGGGAGTGGGGGCTGCAGGGTGTCAGCTTGTGCTTTGTCCCGAGTTTGCCTTCTGCTCCCTCATCGGAAGGAAGGTTTGCATTCTCAGCCCTGAAGCACCTTTCCACTTTTCCCCCCTTTGAGTGTGTGTATAGAGGGTAGACAACACATGCACTCTTTTCAGGAGAGAAAATTCAAAAGATATAAAAGGGTCATGGAGTGGAAAGTTAAGTTTCTTTTCCACCCCTAACCTCCAGCCCCCTTCCCAGAAACAATCATTTTTACCAATTTCTGTAAATTCTTCCAAAGATATTCTTACACACACCCACCACACACGTAAACTCAAACACATATATTCTCATCTTTAATAATATGAATGTTGGCATGCCACATTGTTCTGCACCTCTATTTTTGTATCACTTAATGATCATCCTGGAGATCGTTCTCCATCAGTGCTAAGGGACCTGCCTCACCCTCTGAATGGATATTAGGACAACAGACTTAGCCAGTCCCCTACTGGAGGCTTCTAGATTGCTCGTCTTTTTTATCAGATCAGGACTGTAGTGAGTATCCTGGCACACGTCGTGATACACATATGCAACTTTACCCAGAGCCTCAATGTCTAGAGGTGGAGTCTCTTCCCATGGTCACAGACTGGGTGTCCCCACAATCCACGGACGCTCTCACATTCACCGGCCTGCTTTTCCCCACAGCTCCACCCAGAGCACATCACCATACTCTCTGAACTTTATCACTAACAGGTGGAAAATAATGTCTCACTAAAGTTTACATCTGCACTACTCTTATAAGTGAGGCTGAACAGCTTTTTGCATGTTAAAACCCTGCATTTCCTTTTTTGTAGTTCACATCCTCCACCCACTTTCTATTAAGCTAGAAAAGATTTTGAGGCCATGGAAAATGAGGCTGTAGACAGACTGCAGTCCTCCATTCCAAGCTGAGCTGAGGCCCCTGGGATTACATGGGGGCAAGGGGTGGGGGCTCTGAGTGTGGCTGTGCTAGGACTTGGGGGAGCGAGCACACCAAAGCTTCCCTGTGGCCTCATGTCTGCTGGTGCCGCACGTGAACTTGGCCTAGACGTCTGTTTTCTATTTAATGATAGGTAGCCTTTTGTTTTTGTTTTTTTGTAACTCTTCTCTAACGGGCACCTGGATGACTCAGTCAGTTGAGCAGCAGACTCTTGGTTTCAGCTCAGGTAATGCTTTCAGGGCCATAGGGATTGCCTGTGTCAGGCTCCACACTCAGCGGGAAGCCTGCTTCTCCCTCTCCTTCTGCCTGCCGCTCCCCCTACTTGTGCTCTCTCTCTCTGTGTCATGTAAATAAATAAAATCTTAAAAAAAAAAAAATCCTGGGCGCCTGGGTGGCTCAGATGGTTAAGCGTCTGCCTTCGGCTCAGGTCATGATCCCAGGGTCCTGGGATCGAGTCCCGCATCGGGCTCCCTGCTCCTTGGGAGCCTGCTTCTCCCTCTGCCTCTCTCTCTCTCTCTCTGTCTCTCATGAATAAATAAATAAAATCTTTACAAAAAAAAAAAAAAAAATCCTGACCTAGTCCTTCTGTTTCAAAATTCCTGTGAGTCTAAGGTTCAACATGCTACTTTCCCACAATGAAAAGTGGACAAGTTTCCTGATTTACATGAAAACATGCTCAACTCCTGCCTCTTACCTGGAGGTCCTCTGGGTCTGAGTGTGCCCAGAAGGGGGCCATGGTGCACTTGATCTTCCCCTCAGGGTCCATTTCAATGTCCCACCAGGAGAGAACCACCTGAGCTCGGCCAGATGCCAGAGGTTCAAACTGCCGGCTGTGGCAGGCTGCTGAGCTACTGACTTGCTTGCTAAAGTCCACACTGTGAAAGAATACGCAGGAACTTAAGCATATTTTAAGCTCACATACTCCATTTTTAAGCTTTTACGGTGACATCACCAGCAATGAGACTTGTTTGCAATGGACTCCCGCCTTCAGAAGCAGGTGACATCAGCTAGATTTCCTTCTCACTCATAAAGAACTTTTAAGACCCCAATTCCACCAAATATCTCAAAGCACCGTTGGCTGGGGCGGTTCCTTGGTACCTGAACATAGGCATCACATCACTGAGGGCAGTGAAGTCAGTGGGCGACACCTGGTTCAGCTGAATGTCATAGACAGAGGGAGCACCAGGGCACCTCTCCAGTTCCAAGGGGGGGACGATGACCTGCTCTCCACAGCTGGTCTGAACGCGGACAGGAAAGAGCTTATTCCACGACCACATCCTCCGGGACTCCACCAGCTGTGCATAGACAGTTGCTCTGTGAGGTACCGCTTCACAGTTTTCCTAAGTTTATGTCACAAAAACAAAAGAGAGAAAAATAAACCGGTATATGTATTATAAAATAAACCCACAGTAATTCTCATTAATCAAAAGAGGCTTGTTCCTTAATGTCAGGTCAGTTGAGTAGCATCTACCGCCTTACCGCTATAGGATGGTGAACTGTTTTTGGCCTAATGTCCTTGGGGAAGAAAAAAAAAGGAACCAGATTTCAAAAAGAATACACATTATGCCTAGAACGATTTATGTCAGGTGAGTTTCCAACTACATGACACTCTTAAATGCTTCAAAAATAACCCTTAATTGTCATCATGCTGATGAACTCCCACACCCACTTTGAAGAAAGAGTCCAAGTCTGCTGCTAAGCAGCGATGATGGCACGGGGCTCCAAGCTTCTCTTCAGCACAGGTCTCACCCAGACACCAGAATCTCGTTATTGCATAGCCCAATGGACAAGTGTCCACCCTCAGATGACCTGGCCTCCTGGCCTCACCAGGCACTGCCCACCACTCCCCTCACTTGGTTTTGGCTGCAGTCCCTCATCCGGTTTCCCTCCTACCTCATTCTTTCACCGGACAGCCTGTACGCAACAGGCACCAGGAGCCCAGGCAGAACAGGACGCTCCCAGCTCGGACTGCAGGGCAACGACAGGCCCGGGGCTCCTCTGTCTCAGACTGCAGACCTCTTGGGTCAGATGATCCTCCGCTGTGGGGGCTGTTTTGTACATCATACGATGTTCACTAACCTCCCCGGCCTCTATCCACAAGATGCCAAGAGCGTCCCCCTCTCAGTTGTGACACCAAAAATGGCTGCAGGCATGGCTCTGGATGAGAAACACTGCTCTCCTCTGGCTGCCTCACAACGCTGTGCTTCCCCTACCCATCCTTCACAGAGACAACGCCCCAGAGACGTGGTCTGGCCCATCTCTCTCCCTACACACACTCTCCCCTGAGGGACATCCGTCAGTCAGTCCATCTTCATTTACCAAATACCGCATAGCCAAAAGGCTCTTTGGTCCTCTCTATTTGTTTGACCCTCAGATAGCTCAAACTCTGTCTAAACCAAACAAATCACCCTCACCTCTCCCTCTCCTTCCCAAGCCTGGTCCTCCTCCCATCTTCCCATTCAGTAGGGAACATCACCGTCCAATCCAGTCTCCCAAGCCCCAAACCCTGGCATTGCCTCAATGCCTCCACATCTAAGTAATTACCAAGTCCTTGCCCACCTTCCCCGTCCCCAAGGGTACCTGTCTAGGCCCATTTCTCTGGTCTCAGCTGAGGTCCACCTCAGCCCCAGAACCTGGATGACTCCAACACCTTCTAACCATTCTTCCTGCCCCTGATCTTGCACCCCAAATGCTCTCCACGTGCCTGCCTACATGAATCTGATGCCAATCCCCTGCTTTAAACCCTCCTGTGGCACCACACTGCCTTCTGGAGCACAGGGGCCCATCTCAGTCTAGTTCTGCCCAGCCCTCCAGCCTTAGCTCTAACCCCACCTCCCCCACTACCCATAATGCCAACAACTCACACCGCACCACCTCACCTTCCCACCTTTGTGCTTGCTGACTTCCTCTACTGAGAACGCCCCCGTATGGCAGACCAACACTTGATTACTATTCAAAGACTGACTCCGCTTGAGCTGCATCTTCCTTGATGCTCCCCACCATCCTCTACCACAGCGGGCAGGATCTCACCCCACTGACCACCATCTGAGTGTACCCTCCAACTGTACTGTGATAACCTGCTCACCTACCTGCCTGCCCAGGAGTGCACCTTCATATTCCTGTCAAAAAAGGGCCTGGCAAAATGAAGGCGCTCAATAAATTTACCTTCTCAGATCAATCACTGGGTCACTCACCACCACATGGACTATCTGTCAGATATTCCAGCATCCTGGTTGCATGACCTTCAGGAAGGCAGGAAAAGGGACTGGAAATGGAAGCCTCTGTGTAAAGCCGTAACTCTTTCAAGCTCAGACACAAGGTGGGCAGATGGGGACAATGATTAGAACAGACAACAGACACCTGGCTACACAGACCAGCTGAGAAAGGAAACCGCAGCCAGCTGCCTGCACATCTTCTTAATTATTAGATGAATTAGAGAAAGACCAATTGGACAACACTAATGTAATTTTAAATATCCTTGTGTTCTCTGTTTCAGGGATTCATCTAGTTGATGGTTTTAATGTGGAAAAATAGAAATAATTACTACCAAAGTTACTAAAAAAAATCTTATATTTTGGAGACAAGGAGATGTCTCACACAGTGTGATCACCATCACATGCTGACTGTGCGAGTAATGTGGCCTGTGGCCCCAAATGCCCTGGAAGAAGCCACATTCTTCATTCTGGCCAAACCAAACACCCCTCAACAGGGTCCCAGACTGGGACAGTTGCAGGTTCGCCTAGATGGTGCCCACAGGACAGGTGGCAGCAAAAGAAGCAGACACTCACACTCCCCAGCTGGCCATTGCCTCTGGGGACATTTATGTCCATAAAAAAGCAAGACAAACATCTCCACGATAACACTCAGCATGCCTCTCCCTTCCGGAAAAAACTGCCAAAGATTATCACTACACAAATTCTTTCGCCTAGAATGGTGAGAGGACTTGGCATTCAAGGCCTTCCACCCTCTCCCTGACATTCCACCATGAACTCACAAGCCCGCCTAGGGGGTGTTCCCACTGATGAACTGCACAGGTCCGCTACCTGGGACACCTCCCCCTCTCCTCAGGGCCTTTCCACATTCCACCTTCTCTACGTATGTCCTCATATCCTGATCCCGGCCCTCATCTGCCAGTCTGAAAACAAATGTTACTGGTGCTTCTGGTAAGCCTCTCCATTTGGCCATCCAGTCTGCCCCATCACTGACCAGTGTGGGTCTTAGAAACAGGAAGGAGGTCTTATATTTCTCCCAGCATGCTAGAACACCTTATACACAGGTGACATTTAAAGAATCTTTACTGAATTGAATTGAATTTGAAGACATCAACTCTAGCCTACGAAAACTGGGTAAGAGACCCAGAAGTCCTAATTAAGGAGAACCAATGTCTCCCAGGAATCAAGGGTATCCTAGGGGGTACAGGGAAGTACTGAGGGCTCAGGCTGTGCACCAATGAGACCTGTGCGAGCCAGGTGAGGTCACAGCAATGTACCCGAGGGAGGCCCCTGGTTACCTGCACAAGATGCCTGTGCGCGTGCTCATAGGAGGGCAGTGCTCCCTCTCCAATCAATTCTGTGTCAAACAGCTCTGTGATCAGGATATTGGCACGACATGGCATGTCACCATCTGAGAAACACAAGGAAACAGAAGCAAACAACTGATGAGAAAAAATATTTACAGCAAAAACGTGAAAGATAAAAGGTTAACAGATTACACTGAAAGCACATACGTACATTCAAGTATCTAGAAGTGTCATGAAACTTTCTAATGGCTCACCAAAAACCCATTTTGATATACATATACGCATCAAGACGCTAGCAATTGGTAAATTTTGGTTAAGAGAATGTAGGTGTTTGTTATACCACTCTTTCAATTTTTCTGTATGTTTAATATTGCAAGGGACTCACAGAACTGATAAGAAAACTATAAACACCCAAAAAGAAAACCAGGCAAAAATACAGACAATTCAAAACAGAAAAACGAATCAATCAAATATATGGAAAATATTTCATTCTTATTGGCAACTGGACAGATACAAATTAACAATTAAACTATTAACGTATTAGCAAAAATGATTTGAAAAGCAAAACTGAACGTCAGTCCTTCAAATATTTCTAGGCTTCATGGAGGGAGAGAAAACCAAAGCTAGAGAGGTTGCGTAATTCCAGTGATACTACGAGACCCAGGATTCAGCATCACCAGTTCCCTACACTAAACCCCCCTTAAATAAGTTAGTTTCTTGCTACCGAACGATCCCCCAAGTAATAGTTGTTTAGGATAGTAGGAGTAGGGGAGGTCCTTTGGCTGACTCTTATTTCCTTAACCTCTGTAATGTAATGTAATGTTACTTCTACAATTTTAATTTTTAATGAGCCAACAGACAAAATTAACTTTGGAAGGGGCTATTCATCATAGATAATTAACTGTAAACACTCCTAATGGTGCACGAATTCTAATCTGACAAAGCCCACTCATCTTCCCTACAAAGAAAACAAGTCTCATGGATAACACAAGGGAAGAGAAGCATTAAGGGGGTTCAAAGGAGGATGCAGTACAGACAGCGTGGACCTTAAGTCATGGAGACCTGAGCCTGGATCCCGCTTTCTAGCCCTGAACCCTCAGTGCTGACCATCAGTCACCTCATATGTAAAACAAGGGTAATGAGATCTGCTCCAGGTGGTGCTGGTTAGGATAGCAAAGGTAAAAGCTGTCGACTTTCTACAAAGCACCCTTGTGCTCAATGCCATGAAAGGAGGCTAACAAGAAACCTCTGTCTTCCGGCCCAGAGACCGGCCTCCCGAGGGGCACTGCCCAGCCTCTCTGATATCATGCCAAACTCGAATGGAAATACACTGTCGCAAACTGCACCCCACCCTTACATGTCTGCTTCTCCCTCTGATGCCTCTGCCTCTGCCTCAGTGGACCGCACCACCAGTCACACAGTCCTGAAACCTGGGCATCATTCAGCAGCTCCAGGAGAGCAGGGACCCTGCCTGCTCTGCTCAGCATTTTACCCCAATGCTTAGAACAACGCCCAGCACCTAGGAACAGTCAGCAAACATTAGCTGAATTCTTGATTCCTCCCTCTCTGTCACCCTACATCCAATCAGTCACCAAGCCCTGCCAATTCTACCTCAAGAATAATTTTTAAGCCAATTATGCAACTTAAAATGATTTATCGTCCAATTTGCTTCAAATAAACAAAGCTTTATGATCCACAGAATCTCAACACTCTTGAGAGCCTGGTATCTGGCATGCTGAGTACTAATGCAGTGTCTGGAGACATTTTTGGATGGCACAAATGACTGGGGTCGGGGAGGGGGAGAAGGAGGAAGGGGTACTGCAAAATCCTGGCTTCTACTGGTTCTCTCTTTCTCTTCCTCTGCTCCCCCCCTCATAAAACAAATTAAAACAAACAAAAAATGCGCAAGTCCTGAAAGGATCAAAGTGATCTGCCAGTAGCCCAACTGCATGGCAGACAATGCTTTTAAAGGAAAACAATAAACACTGGTATCCAGCAATGCAAAACTCCCAAAACACACAGCAAGCAAATACAAATTACTAAACATGTGAAGAAGAAAAATTTAACCCAGAACCAGGATAAAAATTAGTCAAAAGACAGAAAAGTGGAAGAAGATAAAAATATTAAAACAGCTAATATAGATAACGTTAACTATTTAAAAGAACACACAGGGGCGCCTGGGTGGCTCAGTCGGCTAAGTGTCTGCCTCTGGCTCAGGTCATGATCCCAGGGTCCTGGAATCGAGTCCCACATCGGGCTCCCTGCTGAGCAGGGAGTCTGCTTCACCCTCTCCCTCTGCTGCTCCCCCACTGCTTGTGCTCATTCTCACTCTCTCTCAATTAAGTAAATCTTAAAACACACACACACACACACAAACATGTAAGAATGGAAATTATAAAAAAGAATCAAAGGAAACATTTAGAGATGAAAAATACAGTATTAGAAATAAAAAGTTCACTAGATGTACCTAGCAAATTAGACACCAGAAAAGATCAGTAAATCTAAAGACCTAACCAGGAAACCACCCATGTCCCTCAGTAGGTGAAGGGATGAACAAAGGTGTCCACACACGAGTGCTACTCAGCAAGAGCAGAGAATGAATCTTGATCCAAAGAATGTGGATGAAACCCAAAAGCATCATGCTACAGAAAAGAAAGCAGGAACAAAAGAGTACACATGGATAATTTAATTTACTCAAAATTCTAGAAAAGGGAGATCTAACCTGTATGGGGGAAAGCAGATCAGTGGGTGCCTAGGGTCAGTAATATGGAGGCAATTGGCTGTAAAGTGTCATGAGCAATCTCTTTGTGCATGATAAAGACATTCTACTATTTTGATTTTAAAAGAGGTTACAAATGTGTTTACATTTGTCCAAACTCATCAAACTATATACTAAGACTGATGCACTCATTTTATGAAAATTTACCTCAATAACATTGATTAAAAAATAGGATAACAAAAAAATAGGATAATGATTTGTATACTCTTTTGCATGTATGTTTCAAAAACAAAGGGGACACTAATCCCTTCTTTTGTGCATGTTTCAGGTTCTCCATTAAAAACCTTTCTTTAATTAAATGGAACAAGTATCTTGACCTTGCACAGAGGCTTCCTTCTAAATTACTGCATTTTAAAAAACTGCGAGGCTATCCAGACCCTCGCCCCAGAAGCTTCTTTTGCAAAGCTTTCCACTGTGCTCCCCAGGAATCAGTGGCATGTGAAATTTGAGAAGTCGGATTCAAATGCCTGGACTCTAAAAACTATTCTGAGAGGCTGGAGAGACTGTGCCACACAGGCAACTCGCTCGTGTCGGACGCTGAAGCAGGATGTTGGCACGAAGCAAACCTCTCTCTGCCATCTACTTGGTTTCCACTTCTGTCTGAGGAAACTCAAAACGCAGAGAGCTGAGTCACATAAGAATTCTAACTTGCTTAAAGCAACAGAAAGTTTCATTTGTATCACCACCGTTGCACGGGACAAGCTCTGGGGCTCACTGCTGATTCAACTAGCAGAGAAGCTGAGCCCTTATTTTCAGACCACGTGGAGAGACTCCATTTCTCTGTGATTACCTGAATACTTATTCCAGGTAACCAGAATAAACCTTTTCTTCTCTCCTTCGACGGCAAGTAAAACTTTCAAAAGAGTATGTACTGCTCTTACCTGGCCCTATGGTCACCTCAGTGGAATGCTTGTTGATAATCTTAATTTTATCAGTGAAGCCATTTCTCTCCACAATCTTCACAGCAGCATCAGCCATGGGCTTGAAAACCTAGAAATGAGAGCCAAAACCCAACGAAAAATGAGCAATAAATTGAAGAGTAACATCCTAACATCCAAGATCAGTAAGATATGTTGTGATACAGGTACTAAGATTTGAAGTAAAAGAGGTCTCCACGACAGAATTTCCTCCTGAATATATAATATGTACCTCTGTTATCACATGATACAGGCAAAATATATCTTTGGGCTGATTTGATCTAAAAAAAGGAGACCTCATCTTTGGAATATAAATACATTATTCTCCAAATGAGTGTCATGAAAATGAATACAAAGGGAAGACACTGCGCTGGGTTTAACTTGCATGAGTTAAACCTTAAGAGCCAGGCACACTAGGGAGGCAGGGCTTCCCAAGGAGATTGCACTATCTAGCAAGGATGGCAGGTGTCAGTGCTGAGCTAGGGGAAGGCAGTAGGGGTGCTTGCCTCACAAAACCAGGACTTGGGGCCTGGGGCAGGACATGTGCTGTCCTCTCCAGAGGAAAGCGAGACTGTTACTGTATTAGTCCTTAAGTGTGAATAAGCATCAGTTCAAAACTGTCCCAAATCCCCGCTGATGGCAGAATACGGCCTGCATTTTATGGTATTCGAGGCCCTCCACAACACAAACCACCTTACTTCCCCACCCATGACTGATGCTCCAGCCATGCTGATCTCATTGTGCACTAGGCAAGCCTGAGCCTTCTCTGCCCTACTCCCCACCTGCCAAAGCAAACCCAATTTCCAGGGCAGCACATATCCCCTCTTCTCCAGGAGTTTTCCTGAACCCTTCACATGTCCCTAAACACAAGCCCGCTCCAACTCTTCACTTTCTAGCTTGCCCAATTTAGACCGCAAAGCTCCAAACACAAGAGTGCATAAAACATACAGATGTGCATGTGGCCACACCCACCGAGGTGGAAATAGAAAATGAAAGAGTAACTGGTCACAACAAGATTTCCATTTTTTCTACCATGAACACATATTTCTTTTATTATAATCAAGGGGGAAATGCTATATTCTTCCGTAAAGAATACATATGTGCTTAGCTAGGAAAAGAAATCTTCACAATCTGTTTCAAATTATTTCTAGGATCTGGCTTGATGTTCTTAGATGTAGTTTGAGGGCCTCATGCTCTCAGTTCTCACTCATCACTTTGCCTCCACCCCAAAGTATCACAAGTTCATGTCACCCCTCAGCCCTCCTGCCTCTTGATATTATCACTCATCTCCTCTGCTGACCCTTCAGGTTCTGATGTTCACAGTCTCCTCCTCAGCCACCAAGAACTCAAGACCTCACCCAGAACACTTCTTTCTGGAATGGCCCCTGAAGCTGACTTCCCATCATTCTTTGTACTCTCCTGCCCCTCCATTCAGTCTGGGGGACTGACCTTCTTCCAAGCAGTGACCTGTCTTGTCTACGGGTAACCAAATCTCTCAGGCCAGGTCAATGAGGTTAAGTTAAATAGGATTTAACCTTATTCTGGCCAATGATACCCAAGGAGAGGTTTGCTAGAGATTCCTGGGAAAGTTCTTCTGGCTCTTAAAAAAGAGAAGAAAAGTAAGGAAAGCAGGACCATGCTTCATTTTCAAAGACTTTGCCACAGAAATCACTGCAACTAATATATCTTCCCAAAATATTCCTTACTTTTCAAATGTATTAAAAGAGAAGTTTATAGTCATTGTATATGATTTCTTGTATTCCATCCACTCCTCAATCCTACTCCCCTGAAAACACCACCTAAAGGAGGTCACCTCTTAGCTACCAACCCAACGGCCTTCTCTCAGGCCTCATCCTGCTTAACTTCGATACCCGTGCGAATACAGGGTCCACAGGCGTTTAAATGTAAGTTGATTAAAACTGCATGAAATTTAAAAATTCAGTTCCCCAGTCATACAAGTCACACCGCAAGTACTTAGCAGCCACATGTAGCCAGGGACCACTCTACTGGTCAGCACAGCTATAGAAGATATTCAGCATCACAGAAAGTTCTACCAGGCAATGCTGCTCTGTAACACCCGCACTTGCTGACCACTCCTTCTTTCCCATGATGCCCTTGCAATCCGCCCCCTCTTGGCTTCCACCTCTGCCCTCTAGGGTCTCTTCTGTGTGAACTTGACGTTATCAGCCACTCTTCTTCCCTCACAGGCACGGGTCCCCAGGTCTGCTCTTCTCATCCTACTCTCTCTCCCTGGACAAGCTCCTACACTGTCAGCCTCACCTGTCACATCTTTAGCAAATGAGTTGCAAATGCACTTGTACATGCCACTCTCTAAAGGGTCAGACGTCCAGCTCTAGGGATCAGCAGGTTCTCACTCACTGTTCCAGACCTGTCTTTCCTGTTGGCATGCAGCTCAGGGAGAGCTGAAAACCACAGGGCAATCCAGACAGAATGACCACAGGCTCAAAAGTGGTCACTAAAGTAAGAGCTGGGAGGCCACCATAAGATGTCAAGAGCCAACAGAAGAGATGTGAAAGTTACAGATCAGAGCAGCAAGAGAGAAATTAGAAATCCAGGTAACTGACATGGGAATATATGGAAATACCCAAGAGCACAGTCCTACCAATTTTGTCAAAAAACATGTTCTCATCCTGTATCTTTAATTAGCAGTCGACACATACACTGGCTCCTGCCCTGAGACTTGCCTCTCTCCTACTTAGCATATCCAAGAGGAAATGCATTATCTTTCCCACAAAGCAAGTATCTTCCTCCGAGCTTCTCTTACCAGTCAATGGCATCACTGCCCCCCCGATACCCATACTAGAAATCTCACACACTCTTCCATCAAAGCTACGACTATAGAGTGAGCACCATAAGTAGGAATCAAAAGACCAAGCCTCGAGGTCTAGCCCTCCTATTTATTAACTGTGAGGTTAAGTCTTTAACTTCTCTGGGTCTTAGTTTCTTCATTTATAAAGTAAAGATAATAAAATCTACTTAAGACTAACTAAGGCAACCATCCTAAAACATTGATTTCTTTGTATTTAATTAAAAATCTTGATGACACTCAAAAAGGCCAAGAAGTGACTCTTAATGTTTTTACGAAGTCTCACACACACACACACACACACACACACACACACACACACACACACAC